ATCAACCCCTCGGCGCCCCACACCACACACACACACACACACACACACACACACACACACACACACACACACACACACACACACAAGATCCTTCCTTAGAAGGGCTGCTTTGTGGATCATTAGAGGGAGTTGTGTATTGATAAAATGTCTCAGAAGATGGGCATATCTGTCTATAGAGATACGGAGCCACTGGCCTGCCTGGATGTAGCCCTAGGGCTCTCCCTTGGGATGACGGACTGTGGTGCTCTACAAGGGGACTTTTCTACAGCATGCTCACAGACACCGTCCTTCAGGGTTCACAGAGAGAATATAATAATTCAGGCTTCACTGCCTATACTCAAAGTGGGGCCAGCCCCTTTGTCAGGTTCTTTATTTACTCTAAGAAAAATGTCCAACGGCGCCCTCCTAAATGAAGTCCTTCAGGATTTGCCCTTTGGTTAACAGCTTCTCTGAGCAGTTACTGAGTGACAGGCTCTGGGCGGGGTGCAGAGTGAACCACAGTGAAGTTTTAGTCATCTATCACATGTTTTCTGCAGACCACTGTGGGGAAGGCACTATTCTATGTCCTGGGAATGGAGAAGCAGTCAACAAACAAGACTCCTGCCCTCAGGCACCTTATATTCCAGCATGGAGGGGAAAATTAACAGAGTAGTGGGCTGCAATGCCCCATGGTGAGCCATGCTCTAATGGGATGGTAGGGCTGGGGATGGACAACGAGGGTACGTTCTACTGGGTTCAAAACAGTCCAGGAAAAGCTCCCTAGGGATGCTTCATGGAGATCTGTAGGAGGTAAGGGATCAAGGCATGAGGGGAATAATCCAGTTAGGCTCAAGAGCAAAGTTCTAACTTGGGAGGCAGAGCAAAAGCACCCAGAGTGGCTGGGGAAGGGTGGGGGTGACAGGACGAGTTCTTGAAGAACAGAATGAAGAACTTGGCTTTTATTTTTTCAGGTGTATGTAGGCGCACAGTGCACACGTGTACATGCATGATTGGAGACCATACGTTAATCTCAAGTGTTGTTCATCAGTAATCAGCCATCTTGTTTTTGAGAGAAATTTCTCACTGGGAACTGGAGTTTATAGGCTAGGCTGGTTGGCCAGCAGCCACAGGAATCTTTCTGTCTTTGCATCCCCAGCACTGGGATTACAAGTTTTACACCACGATGCTTGGCTTTTTACATGGGTACTTGGGATTTCTCTTTTCCATTTTTTTAAAATTTTTATTTATTTTTTGGTGTGTGGGGGTGTCTCATGCAGCCCAGGGTGGCCTTAAATTCCCTAAGCAGCTGAGTAGTTTGAACTTCTGACCTTCCTGCTTCCACCTCCCCAGTCCTGGGATCATTCTATCCCACCACCATAACCAGCCTAGGCTTATCTTTAAGGTGCGCTGAGGATTCATATGGGAGCTGGGATCCATGGCTAATGGGGCCATGCCTTTGAGAGATCATCTGGCTCCTTTGTGGCTTCTGTCCTCACTAAATGCAGGTGGTGGGATGGAATGGGGAGAACATTCTCCCACAGGCTTCTTCAGCCACCAGAGTGTAAGAGAGGAGAGGGGCTTGGACCTGGGGGCTGTAGGCAGGGATGTGAAGAGCTCATGTTTAGAATGAACCAGTGGGATTTGCAAACAGACTGGTTGGGGGCATGCAAGTAGGGGAGAGTGGGAGGGCACCAGCAGGGCCATGTATCCAACTAGGAACACTAGGTGAGCTTGGGAATGGGGCCATGAGTGAGCATCAGGGATTCTGTATTGGGTTAATGAATTTGAGACTCTGCCCATTACAGTTGGGTTGTAAGGCTGAGTTCAGGGGAGACATTAGAGTGACAGATATATGACACTGGTGGTACAGACAACTACATCACGCACCTAAGTAAAAGACAAGAGGAGCCCTGAGGGGCTGAGCCTGGGACCCAGTGATGAGGAGTCATACGCCATTGAGGAGCTGCCAGGAGTTGCCAGGGACAGCCAACAGGTGGTCCAAGTGAATAGAGCCTGATACTGAGCTAACGTCAGACTAGCAGCCACATAGTCACAGAGGAAGTGCCAGGATGGAAAAGCAGAAGGTGCCGAGACCCTGCAGGAGGAGAGCCACATCCAGCCTAGCAGGTCACACAAGGACTCCCCTAGCAGGGGACATTTTCACTAGGCCCAGGTTGGTAAGAGAGTAAGGTGACTACAGGAAAGAATTCCCATATGGCTGCAGGGGGCACCAAGAAGGACAAACCCAGCATGGATGGAGCTTACCAAAGGAGGCAGAGAAGGGCTCTATTCACTGCCAGAAAGTTGGTTAGAGGCCAGGTCTCCCTTAAAAGACTTTGGACTTTAACTTAAGGCAGGGGAAGGGAAGGGGATGGGGGTAGGGGCAGGAGTTTGAACAAGGGTGCAACATGACCACATTCACACCTGTCAAAGTTCACTCTGGCTGCCCTGGGAATGGGGTGCACTTCTACAGGAACGTTCTTGGCTCAATCTGCCTTTGTTCATGGCCCCTCATCTTTCTCCTGGACTATCTCTAAGGCATCTCTGTCTTTCTTTACTGGCATGCCTGGTGGAGTCTAGTCATCCTCCCAGAGCCTCCTGGGGAGGGTGTTCTCCCCTGGGTTTCTGTAGCTCTTTGTCCATGACTATTCTTGGTTCTCTTAATTTGTTTTGCTTTTGAGTGATATGGGATTCATCTCCCAGCCACATCTCAGAATCTGAGTCCCCTGAGAGCAAGCTTTCATCTTCACAGTCCCCAGAGACTACCTGCCACAAAACAGGTCCTCGATAAACTTTTGTTATTGATTCTCAGACTGCAGAAGTCTTGAGAACAGTGCACCTGGGAGGCTCTTGTTACAATGCAGACCCCAAATCAGTAGGACTGGGGTGAGGCAAGCTTTTGGATGACAGGACTGTTTCTGGTCCACAGGGAATTGCAGAGGAGGAGGCCCTGAGGCCTAGCAGGTGCTCTGTACTCTTTCCATGGAGCCCAGGATCAGCAGTTTCTGGGATCCCGGCAGTGTGGAACCATTACTTCAGGGGCCTTGGAGGTGTGGGGTTGGTTACCTCTGAGGTCTCCAGGGACTGGATCTCTCTTGGGAGCTCTACTGCATGCCTGTTGAAGTAGTCCATGGTGATGGCATTGTTCCAGTAGCTCAGGTTGTTCTCAGGGTTAGCTGTCTTCTTCTTCCTCCTCATGCAACACACGGTCAGCAAGACAGCTGTAGAGAGAGTCCAAGTCAGAGGAGAGGGAGGTAACAAGAGTCTGTGTCCTAGTGGTGCTGTGAAGGCTGTACACTACCCATTCACTTATCGGTCATTCACTCTTTCAAATTTTATGTGTATGAATGTTTTCCCTGCATATAAGTAAGTGCACTGTGTGTGCAATGTCCGTGAAGGCCAGAAGATGGTGCTGATTCTTAGGAACTGGAGTTATGGATGGCTGTTAGCTACTATGTGAGTTTTGGGAACCAAACCCAGGTCCTCTCCAAGAACAGCCAGTGCTCTGACCAGCCCCCCAATTTTTTTTTTTGAGACAGGGTCTCATGTATCCCAGGCTGGCCCCAAGCTCATTGTGTACCTGGGAATGGCCTTGCATTTCTGATCCTCCTGGCTCCACAGGAGGCTGGCATCAAGGCCTATGCCACCATGCCTGTTTTATGTGGTGCTGGTGATTGAACCCAGGGCTTTGTGTGTGCTAGACACGCATCCACCAATTGAGCTAGTCCTCCTAGTGCACAGCATTTAGTTGCTCTTTTGTTACCTGCATATGTTGAGTGCCTAGTGTGTGCTGGAAGCTGTTATAGGCATTGAGAAGACGCAGGAGGAGAAGAGGATAAGTCACCCCTGCTTTCCTAAGCTTCCATCCTACTGTGTGCCTGCAGGGAGGGAATAGATGATACATAGGCAATAACTAAAATCAATCAGGCGATCTTAATAAGGATAACTATCCAATGAAGATAAAGCAGGGCCAAGGAAGAGAGACAATAAGGGAAATGGGAGAGAGGGAGTATTAGTCACTGTGGTGACCTCAGAGCAAGGGATCTGGAATCAAGCGAAGGAGTCAGCAACATTCAGGATGGGCAGCTGGGCGCTGTGTTCCAGGATGGGGGAACAGCATGGGTAAAGGACCTGAGGTGTGGACAATCTGTGTGTGAGATGAGAAGGTACAGCACTGTCATGAAGTGTATAGGGGTGAGGCAGGAGGGGAGACCTTAGCATCATCTAGAGGTATACCCCAGAGTCTTGGGGAAGGGGGCCTACACATCTTGGTGACATCTGTGGTTGTTGCAGTGCTTTCTGTCAGCACCAAGAAAGGGCTGTGTTCATCTGGTGGGAGGGCTCTCCAGGGTGTGGCTGCAGAGACTGGCATGTGTGTTCTGAGTCACATCCCTTCCAAAGATCTCAGCTGGAACAGGAGGATGACAGAAGTTCACTAGATAAAACTCCCAGTCTTTCTAGAGTGCATCATTTAAAAAAAAAAGCTGCTAATAGTTATTATACAGGACTTATGTTCCAGGCACATCAGACACATTAATTCCTTTAATTTTCTTGTTTCTATTCTTCAATACCCAATTTTCTGCCTTAGAATGACACAAAGTTCCCCTCTGTAGAGTGGCTGTGGTGAGCTCTCCTCAGCCTGACCGCATGCTGTGTGACATGTGACCCTGTTCAGTCTCTGATGAGATCCAGAAGGAGTGTTCCTGGGCTGTTGATAAATCAGGTGCAAATGGTAGCTTCAACATGCTACCAGGGAGCTTCTGTTGTGGGGTGGCCAGTCTGGGCTTGCACAGAATATGGTGGTACAGCAGGATGACAGAAGCCCTTGGGGAGAGCAGCCAGTGAGTGAGGACTGCATATACTCTGCCCAGATTCACCAGCATCAGGACCTTCCACAGGGCTGCAGACCTGACCACCTGAAGGTGCCAACCATTCTGTGCCTGGGAATGGTGACCCAGGCTGCTCTGTTCAGAGGCCAGCACCAGGGGGCAGCAGAGGGCCAGTTCCCTCGGAAGCAGCCCTGAGGGTTTGGCTCCTACAGTATAGGTGCATGCCAGGGCTTGGGGCAGCTGCAGAAGCTGGCACATTTGTGGGTTGAGACCTCAGAGCCCAGACTCTGTCCCTGGGGGGCTCAATGGGACACTCGTTTTCCCTTCCACCACGGGGCTGGCTGGAGATCACCTCCAAACAGGTCAAGAGGCAGCCTGGGTTTGCATTTCACCTCATCTGCTTTGGTCAGAGACTCCTGGTGAGTGTGTCATACCTCCAAGGGCCTTTAAAAAGCCTCTGACACACAGAGGAGATTTCTGAATGGGATAGAGGGGAGTTCAGAGACTGGCTGGCATCAGAATTTTCAAATTCTGTGGCTCTCCTTTCCCGTCCATTTTTCCAAAGTTCTTCCTTCATTGCTTGAAGGAGGGGCCAGGAAGGGGCTGTAAATCCCAGCATGGAAACTGCACATATAGGCCAACACTACCTGATCCCGCTCTGACACTTCAAGGGGGGAAATGATAGGGGACCTATAGCTGAAGGCAAAGTCCTAAAGAAGAGGAAATGGGGGACGTGAGGAAAACAGTTTCTTCAGCTCTGCTGAACCTGTAGTCTAGGAGAGGGGGAGAGTTACTGGGGACAACCAGCCGCCTTTCACTTGCCAGCCTGTGGGGGCACCTGCCATCACACATACTTCATCACTGTAGACTGTGAACAGGGTGTCAAGGAGAAAAGGTTCCTACAAGCTACGTCTTTAGGAAGGAGGAAATCTGTGCCCTGGATCTACTGAACAAGCAAGATCAAAATGATAGAGCTGGTCGCAGGCATTGCTTAATCAATACGGTGAGAGAGATGTGGAATTCAGAATCAGAACTTGAGCAATAATGCACTAGTTGCAAGACTTGGGTAAGTTACTTAACCTCTCAACCTCTGTGCCGGTCAAACGCAATCCTGCATGTAGCAGCATTTTGCACAGTTCCCGGCACAGGGTGTGTGTGGGACTCTGTTGGTGACCTTTCCACCTTTTATTCTTAGGCTGCAAAGTGAGGAGTGGAAACCCAGAGAGGTGAACTTCCCAAGGTTGTGCTGCTAACCTGAGCTGGCAGAGCATGTGGGGTCCAGGTTGTCTGCCCCTGAGCCCACTGCTCTGAGTCCACACTGCCCCTGATCCTGAAGTCTACACCTGTGCAGAGCGCAAGGTCAGGGATCCTGCCTACAGGAGGGCTGATATTGTTGCAGGACAGCGTGGAAGTGGTGACAGGGAACTCTGTTGCTTGCTTTTCCCTCCTTGAATGCTGGCTTGAGTGTATTTCACTTGGGAAACTTCCAGTGCATCTTAAGCACCATCTCCCATGAGAGAGATCTGGAAAGGAACACTGGGCTTCATGACTGTTAGGCTCTCAAGGTCAATGCTTCACTCATGGTTTGGAACTTTTATTTTACTGTGTAGGAGAGGCACCCTTACTCTTTCCAATTATGAAAGAAATAACTGAAGGTCATCGAAGTCAATAACACTGATCAAGATCACCGAGCTAATTACTTCACCTTGAACCCAGGTCTTGGTGACCTTCAAATGGATGCTCATGGTTTACTGTCATTCTAAACACTGGGGGTCCTATGGTAGGAGCTCAGAAGCACTTTGTAAGCTCTATGCAAGGAGGAGTGAGTCACTCCACATAGCTGAAAAACCAACTGCTTCGTGTCTCCAAAGTCATCAGCCATCAAGACCACAGGAAATGAGTGCAGCCTCCACTTCCTGCAGTTTTAGAGCAGCCCCAAGATTTAAGCAAGCTCTCTCAGCTTCCCATGAATCCTCCACAGCATGTCAGACATGTGACAGGAAGGAGGAGGGTCACTGGTAGGAAATGCAGCCCTGGGTGCCCTGTACGTTACATGGGGTGGTCATGGTTTCAGATGCCAGGATCTGCTGGGTGATGAGAAGTGGGAGTGGGAAGCTCACAGACCACCTGAGAGGATCCAGCCTTTCCAGATACCTGCTGAATCTGCGTTTGACCTGCACAGAGGTTGAGAGGTTCAGTAACTTACCCAGGTCTTGCAACTCGCTGCCTGGCCTGTTGGAGCATGCTATGCAAATCCTAAGAAGATGAGTAGCAGCCAGTCCTCCTCACTCATGCCATTTCTTGAGCACCATCCACAGTATACCCTGGTATAAGACCTGTGCGTGGTCTCTAATTGCCGTGAGTTTTTCAGGAGGGAACGACAAGCATGAAAACCCCCCACCTCGGAGCTCCTGCTGCGTGGACTGTGGTGTGTGCACAGCCCTTTGTTGCTCCTTCCGATTCGGCACCATGCCTGTGTTGAGGCCACGCTGCCCAGGTGTCCCCACCATGACTATGGCAGAGGTAGCTGAGGATGCTTATTCCCTTGGGACATGGGGTCCCTCTATGGCTCAAGGATGCCCACTGGCCTGGCAGGAACTTTTAAAGAGCATTCTGCAGTCCGAGCCTCTCCTATGTCCTAGTTATAAGGCTTGTAAGCCTTGAGAAACTAAGGGGGCTTAGTGTTTGGCTCCCCAGAAGCTCAGCAGGGGGTGTGACATTGAAGCCCAGAGACAGGCTCTTCCAGTGTGACATCGTTATGGCTAGGGTGACAAGCCCTAGACAAGCCTGCCTTGCTGTAGGCATCTCCTCACCTCCTCCTATCGGTCCACAAATTCCAAGGAGACATAAGTCCCAGCCTCACTTCCTTCTGGGCTCAAGTCATTTCTACTGTTTTCATGGCAAGAGTCATTCTAATCCAGGTTATCTTATATGTTAATTACAAAGTCATTTAGGTCTTTTAAGAATGCATATAATAATATATGTACATATATATATATATATATATGCACATGCCCATATGCACATGTGTATATAGTCACAGCTAACATTTACTGAATAATGAACACAGTCAAGGATCATGGGTAGGTACTATGGATGTTGTCCTTTGGAATATTGCGCTACATTCCCAAGTTTAGAAGAAGCCCTGTTCTGGGGCAAGGTGCACATAGGCCCTCAAGTATCCAAGGTCAGGGAGCTGTGCTTCAGTCCATCTTTGTACAGGATGGTTGAGAGAAAACACTGTCAGCAGAGCCTGTTACGTGTGAGACAGGGAAGGGAGCTCAGCAGAGCCTCTAACTTGTTCTGTGAAAGCCCAGAGCTCCCACTGGTAGGTGAGGACCAATGTCAAGCCAGAGGCTGCTGGCAGGAGGTGGTGGGTTCTGTGTATCCTGATGGTGGCAGCAGAGACCAGCTCAACAGCCACATGACTCCTGGCCCTTGCCTAAGCCTGGGTCCAATCAATTTCAGTTCTCAGCACATCTGAAACCAAGCTAGCTCAGAGTGTCTGGCAGAGCTCAGGAGACAAAACACTTCTGGGCTTTGTACATAGACTGGAAGGTCTTGCGATATAGAAGGCAAGTGAGCCACTGACCCCTCCTCCTCATGCAGGCTTAGCATTCTACCAGAAGGGAATCATATCCCCCCCCCACTAACAAGCAACCCTGGGGAGGAGAAGGCAGAGCCAGGGCCCATACTGCTCTGTACAACCCTGCCTTCCTGTAGGCATCTCTCCACTTCCTCTCCACCAGAGGGGATGGCATCTATATTTGCACTTTGCTACCAGCCTGACTGCCTGGAATATCTTACCATTTGGTAAAGGATGGGGTCGCCTGTGAGGTCTGTCAGAGTAGCTTTGGGGCACATAGAAACACCAGGGCAGGTTGAAACATGGGTCTTCAGGTCTGGAGTGGAGCAGGGCTATGGAACCAGCTCAAACAGATGAAGATTTTCGTGGACACAGCCTAGGGTTCCGAATGTTCCCTTCCCTTTCCTACCTGCCGTCAAAGATGACGGCCCACAGGAGGTATGGTCATGAGTAAGGACACAATGCTGATGCAAAGGTAACCAAGACCCTGGCAAGAGTTGGGAGCCACCTGTGTAAATGGCAGAAAGGCCAAGGAGGTGGGCTCTGCTTGTCTCTATGGGGCAATGAGAGTCCATTAGGAACAAAATTCAGATTTTCCTTTAGAAAGTATTATGTCCTAGCCCCCAGCACCTGAAGCCTCTTCTCATAGCTCTGACGTGTCCTCCTGGTGCGGTTCTGGGCTGTGTCCTTGCTCCCGTATCGGCTGACATTGGCACCCTTTGTTTAAGCAAGGATACTGATTTTATGGGCAATTTTATAGGCTTTCCAGCTTTGCAGCAAGATTAGAACTAATTTCAAGCACACCTTTCAGAAGGGCTGGGGGAGGGGGAGGAGCAGGAGACTCTAGGATAGAAACACCCTGTGGGTGTGGCTTGTGGGGGGTTGCACACTAGTTCTACCCCGAAGCTCAGGCAAACAGGGACAGCTGGGTAAATACAGGGAGCTGAGAACGAGGAGGCTGCCGTGTCACACAGCTCCGATTCCCTAGGGACTGGCATGGTGCCATGGCACACAGAGACACTTGGGAGCACACAGAGACACTTGGGAGATATCACACCGGATCAGTTAGATTCTGCAATATTAGGTCTGGGAAACTTGGGGGATGTCACCTCAACTTGGCGACTTATTCCTCACTTGTAGGATGTTGGAGATACCCTAGCCACCTTGACAGTGTGTGCTTGTTCATGTTTTTATTTATTTTCTCTGGTGAGTGCAGGGAGGGGATGATAAAACATAACGGGACCTCACACTGTAAACTAGAACATCTGAAACGCATGGAAGGAATGGAAGATTGGGAAGGGGTCTCTCAATGGGTCACCTCTCACATATGACTGCTATGAATAATTTACTGGTCAATAGTGCTACATTTTCTTAATCTTATCCCTCTGTTTTAGAAGTGGGTGATCATGGCTTAAAACATACATGTGTTCCCATGAGAGACAGTAAAGCTGTATTAATTGAGAAGGAAGCTCTGTAAATATTTTTACTTTTTTTGAATTGTCTTTGAGCAGAAGTTGGCCACCCAGCCCCAACATAGAAGGTTATCAGCAAGCTGGGAGAAGTGACTTCTGGGAAAAGTCAGGATGAAGTGGTAAGTGGAAAGCTGGCCCTGTTAAGCTGACTTATGGCCTGAGGGAAGGCTGTCTTCAACAGTCTCCCTGTGGGAAGCCCTGAGGGCTACATTTCTCTTAGAATCAAGGTGACCCAAAGCCTTTTCAGTAAACAAGGCTGATGCCAGGACAGGCTGTGTGACTGTGGCAAAAGTGTCCCCCACTGTCCCCATGGCATGGCTGGGCATGCATGGAATGCTGTGCTCCTGGGGGACCAGGGATAAACGGGTGGCCCATTCAGAGGAGGCAAATGTGGGTAGGTCTGGGCAATACAGTTAGTTCTAATGGACACCTGAAGGGTCAGGGATGAGGAACGCGGAATGAGAACACTGCTCCTGAGAACGATTCTAGTGCCTCTGGGTGAAATGACAAGAAGGCAGACTTCAGGCTCCCAAGAGAGCTGGGCGAACCTGAAGGCTCAGAGGACAATGGGCTGGCCAGGGAATGAGGAGCAGCATGGGGCAACATCTGTAAGAGGGTTCAGGGGATGGTTGAATGGTAACCATTTGGGGTCGGGTAGGGCTGAGTCCAGTGTGAGGTTACAGAGAAAACTCTGAGAATGGAGGAAGACACGAAGACATAAAGGAGCCCTTAAGGTTCTGAGAGGTCACAACAAATTCTTGGCGGGAACATCAGGGAGAACACCTCACCGGGGCGGAGGGAGGAGGGGGTTACAGGTTACTGCAAGGAGGTGCTGGAGGTCTTAAGATAGAGAAATATCATGATGAGGTCCACAGTGCATGGAGCTCAGATCACCTATGAACATTAAAGCAGGCTGGGTGGTGTGGGGGTGGGAAGGAGCTAAAATTCACATAACTCCCAAGCCTTAATATAGCCTGTGTTTGAAGAACTGTGTTTTGGCCAATGGAACTCCCCAGCATGGGTAAACTTAATGTCCTCTTCTTTCTCAGGGGGAGGGAGGTGGTACAGAGGTAGAACGGGAGGAGTGAAGAGGCGTGAAGGGAGAGGGAGGGGAGGTGGCAGAGGACAGGGACGACTTCGCTACTTTGGAGGACTTTGGAGATTGAATCTCCAAGGTCAACTGTCACCCATGGTGTCTTGGGACCATGTTTCTTGAGGGACTGGCAGGCCAGTGGTTGAGGCAGGGTGGTGTCTGATAGAGCACCAGGTGGGAAGAGAGATGCTTTGAGTTAAGCAACCCAGCTTGCCTCTCTCCAATGCCTGGATCCTGGGTTAGCTACATCTCCTCACGTTTGATGTTTGTTTCTGCAATATGCAGGGCTAGATCAGAGCACCTGTGAGGTCTTCCAAGCTCCTGGGAATTGTGGCTTTATGGTCTGTGGATATTCAAGCCACACCCAGAACCAGGGACAGGGATGGTCCATGGTTCTTGCCCTTCTGCTGGACTCCAGGATTTTTGCAGTCCACTTAGTAGGGCTGCCCAACTCTGGGCAAGGGAATTTGGGGGATGAGCAGGGTACTTACAGCAAGAAGAGATGGGCACACTGATGGCTAAGATGACCCAGGCAATATCCATCTTGCTCAGGCATATGGTGGCTCTGTGCTGGGGTTTGTCCCCTTCAGCCACATGGGAGATGTTTCCTGCTGTTCCAGGCTTCCAGGTCCCAGCAGGTACCAGGCGATTAAGGAAGTTTCCTGTGGCTGTAGACACCACTGTAGAAAGAGGTCTGGGCACCCTGTCGGTTGTTGTAGGGGAGGCCTCCGTCTCCTCCATTGCAGGGGAAGCCTTAGCCTCCTCTTCAGCTAGAGAAACAGTGCTTTCTGAGACCCCAGGGGGCTGGGTTGGGGCCTGTGGTGTTGCTGATGCTCCCTGAGGGATCCCCTGGGAAGGGGTTGAGACACTGGCATCAAAGGCAGCCTGGGTAGGCCCTGGGGCAGCCGTGAAGATCCCAGAGCTGACAGACAGAGGTCTGTCAGTGTCAGAAGTGACAGCAAGCCAAGAGTCACTGTGACTGGAGCTGTCCTGCATGTCACTGTGGGGCCGCTGAGAAGGCACTGGGGCAGGCTGTGAACCGGCAGGGGCACCTGAGGCTGCTGTGGTGTCCGGCTCCCCTCCTGGGCTGGTGAAGGTGGGACCAGCCCCCTGGACGGCTCTGATAAGGTCTGGCTTGTCCTTTGCAGGTACCAGGGGGATGGTGGTGGGCACCCACGAGGTACTTGTGGGTGGTGTGGTTGCATCCACTGTCTGGGGGTGTGGTGAAGAGGAGTAGCCCCAGAGTGGGGTCTTGGGGGTAAGAGCAGAGGGGTCTTGCTCCACAGACCCTGTAAAATTACCCTTGTAGATCTGGAAGATTTTTCCCAGGGGACGCTTCTGTCCCAGATGTGTAGAGCTTTGATTTCGTCCCCGTTGGCCTTCCTTCCTTGCCGAGTGGCTGCCAGGTACAGGTGGGACAGGACGAGATGGACCACCAGCACCCTTCCGAGAAGTGCCTGGAGGCCTGGGGGGCCTGCGCATGGTGGCCCTCGGGGGCATTGTGGGGCGGCTGGTGGCTCCTGCTGGCTTTGTTGACAGGATGGTGGGGGTAGCATCCCCTGGGGGGAGGCCCTCTGAGTGGGTGGATGTGGTTGCCATGGCAGCTGGAGGGGACCTTGTGGGCAGAGGGCTTCCGGGATGGGGGATGGTGGCTGTCACCAGAACAGTGGACATGGTGTCTGTAGGAGGGTGCCCTTCTGGATGGGGTGGTGTCGTTGCCATGGGAGCTGCTGCCTGTGAGGTGGGTCCATCAGGATGAGGGCTCAGCATCACCAAGGAAGACAGTCTGGTAGAGCTGTGGGGCGCTGTCACCATGGTGCCCGGGGGACTGACTGAGGGGAGGGTCTGGAGAGGTTCCCTGGGAGATGGTTCCTGGACAGCGAGTACTAGTGCTTTGGTCAGTGCCAAGGTCAGGAGGAAGCCTGGAAAGGGAGAGAGGAGAGAGGTGAGGAACAAGAGTGTCACACACAGCCAAGCTGTCCTCACCCAGGACCTGGGAAAGCTCTGGGGATGCAGGGGGGATATCGAGAGCATTCCTGAGCCCCTGAGTCCACACTGGCACCCCAGTATTCTGAGACACAGAGCTATATGTGAAGTTGGTGTAAGTCTATGAGAAGGGTGTTACCAGCGACCCATCAGGAAGAGAAAACAGCACTACATTACCAGGAGTCAGTCAAATTGGCTAATTCCATTCTTTTCTAAATTTCCCAGAGTGCCATAAGCCCTCCACCTCAGTGCAGCTTCTCAGAATGGGAGTAGAAGCCTGGGACACTTGCTTGCTTCCAAATCTTTGTGATCTGCAGTCAGGGAGTGATCAAGGCCAGTCTGACCACAAGACCTGTGAACCACTCAGACGTGATGAGGAAGGCATGTGTGTGGGGAGTTAACTCTTGTTCCTTTTTCTGAACAAGACCAAGGTACACCTGTCAAATCTGTGCTCGTTCAGATCTCCTAGCCCCACATCTATCCTCCCTGGCACCCCAGAGCATACAAAATAAACGGGGCTGCCTCTGGACCCCAGGGGGGCTTTCACAGACCTACTGACAACCCTAAAGTAAGGAAGAGGTCCTGTGTCATAGGGCAGTGATGGTCAGAAGAGGGCAAGGGTCTAGAGAAGAGCAGCCAAACCTAGCTCCCACAGCACTGTAGTAGAGTCTGGGACAGAGGATGCTGCAGAAATACCATGGTACTGGGGGTCTGTTACCAACTGCTTTTCCCGTGGCACTCCTCACGTGGCTATACCAGGGAGAACAGTGCTGCTCGGTCTTTTTGAGTAGGAAGGGTCCTTCTACACAACAACAAAAAGGACTTTGCATAATAATGTGTGTATTTTATTGCTGAGAAAATGCAACAGCATAAAAACCTATAAATTTGAAAGCATTTCTAAATATATATATATATATGTGTATGTGTGTGTGTGTGTGTGTGTGTGTGTGAGTGTGTGTGTGTATGTAAATGAGTTTACTGGACTTACTTAATAGTATCTTAGGTAAGGCCTTACTTACAAGAGCATGGTGACTTTTGGGCAGCTATTTTATTTCTGAGAAAATGCAACAGCATAAAAACCTATATATATGAGAGCATTTCTATATATATATATATATATGTGTATGTGTGTGTGTGTGTGTGTGTGTGTGTGAGTGTGTGTGTGTATGTAACTGTAGCAGCATGTGCCCATACTTGATACCCCACATGAACAGGACACATAGGACTGAGATCAGAGAGGGCAAGCCTGGCTGTTACAGCACATGGGTCAGAGAGAGCTGGTCTCTGCTGCTGATGGGTGGTGGGACCCTCTTCTAGGGCCTAATTCTGACTTCTTAACTCCCCGTGTACGTATACACCCTTCTATATCATTCTTGGACTCCCTTTCAGTCATAGCTAGACCCCAAGAAGTGGGCAGACATCTCTGCCAACTCACTCAGAGCCTTTTTTGACTTTACCACACTCCAGCAGGACAAGTGGCCACCTGGCTAGAATTCTCACACACATTCTGGAATGGGCAGCAAAGCTGCTGGAAGTGGGAAGGAGGGTCCTGCCTGTGACTCCCAGGAGTCTGTATGGAAGGTAAGACTCTGCCTATTACTCTCAGCATCTGGTAGGGATGGTGAGCCTTGGTGATTTTTGAGGATGCAGTGAAGAAGGAACTCTAGTGTGCCTATAACTCAAAGCTCAGGAAGTGTGTGGTGGTCTTAGAAAAACCTTTGGATCCAACATTCACTTTCTAAGTCTGCTGGAGAGGCTGAAGAACCTGCCCTTGAATAGAGGCAATAGCACCTACCATCTCTGGGACCAAAGACTTGCCCTAAGCAACCCAGTTTTTCTATGCCTTCATTCACAAGCCAGCTCCCACACACAGTGCATTCTGCTCATTCAAGCCAATCCTACAATCATGCCTGCTCCCAGTTTCACAACCACTTGACAGGGTGGGAAATGAAAGTCTGGGAAGACAAGGGAACATGTGTGAAGTCACATAGTCACAGAAGCATGTGGAACCAGGGCTGTCTCTTAAGCATATGCTTCTCCTGGTCAGTTGCCACTAGCGATGCTGGGGGAAGCAGAGGCCTATCAGTCACACCCACAACAGAAGTAATATGCTGCTTTGCTCTGATCTATTCAGGGTTATTCCAGCCCTGTTACCCCATACCTTGCATCTCAGCATTGCAGGGACAGTCATTGGTGGTGGCAATCTCCAGTGCTCAATGAACATTATGTGGCAAGTCCCTGATGGTCTTACGCGTGCCTTGGTTCACTATGAGTATTGTTAAGAGCTGAACTATGTTCCCTTCAAGTTCTTATTCTCAAGCCCCAACCCCTAGAATCTCAGAACTGTATTTGGAGAGAGGCCTTCAAAGAGATGATTCAAGTGAACAAAGGCCACAGGATATGCCTTAACCCAGTCTCACTGGTATCCTTCTAAAAAGAGATAAGGACACCAGGGTGACATAAAGGGCTTGTGTGCATAGAAGGACCCTTTTATAAGGGCAGAACAGCAAGATAGTAGCCATCTACTGTGGAGGGAGAGGGGCTAACTCCTGGTACCATCGGAATCCAACCCTGGTACCACTTTGATATTGGACTTCTAGACTGGAGAAGCTTTGAGGAACTAATTTGTCTATCACTGAGTGCTATTTTGTTACAGCAGCCCAGCAAACTAGAACAAGCATTTCGTATTAAAGACCTTCTGAAAAAGGAGAGATGAGACAAGGCCATGTGAACAAGTTAGTCTGCACTAATCTAGACTGGTGCAATGGGGAAAACTAATCTGAAGGCAGGTGTGACTGATAGGTAGTACCTCAGTCTTCCTGGGGGGCATCTCACTTCATGGGCTTGAAGGAGCACTCCTCTAGACTCCCAACCCTACCATCCAAGAGCTACTTCTTGGGTGTTTATCCTACCATGCCTCCTGACTGTCACAGGGCAGTGTCAGGCAAACCTTAGGCTCAAGGGCTAGCAGGTTACACCTATGTCTGACTGGTGGCTTCTGTGAGAGTTGGAGTTAAAAATCAAGGCCCCAGAGGATTGCTGAGCCAGAGTACCGGATATGTCTGGTACAGTCAGAGCACAGAGGCCAAGGGCACTGCAGTTTTCCAGCGTCAAGAACAGCACAGAGCTCTAGAAGAGACACCAAATGACCTTAGGGACAGGCCCACAGTAGGAAGGAGAGCCACTTGGCCTCCAGGAGAGTGTCGCAGCCCTCTAGAACACAGGGTTATGCTGCTCGGTGTTTAAGATACTCGGAGAAAGAAATTGGATCGTCCCAGCCAGAGCCCTTGGCTGGTGTCCTTGTGGCATGCAGGCTGGACTGTCCTTGCTGTTGTTGCTACTTTTTCAGTTTCCAGACTCCCCAGAAGTTTTCTGTCTCCCTAAGAGGGAGGTAAAATTACTTCTCTGTCACTTATTGCTACTTCAGAGTTAATTTTTGCTGCTATGAATGGATACTGCCATCCTAGGTACCATGGGGTTTTACATGGAGGAGTATATTTGGTTAATATAATGAGGGGTCCTAGAGTTCACCTTAAACCAACGTCTTCATTGTACAGAGGGATGAGACTCTGATGTGACTTGTTCAAGAACACCTACCTGGTTGGGCAGTGTGGTGTAGCTATTTCCTTTGAATTAAAACATTCCCTCCTAGAGGGAAGAGGAGGCTCATAAGACTCAGGAAGGTCATGAAGCTTATAACCTTCCCAAGGTTATATAAGTGACACATGATTGCCAGAGAAGACTTCACTTGAGCTGCCTTCAAGTTTCAGGGAGCTTTAAGGATGTAGCACTCTTGAGATACCACCCATGCTGAGGTGGGGCTTTGAGTACCCATGCTCCCAAAAGTAACCTCAGAAAACTCATCAGTTCACTAAGCTAGACTTGGGAGGAATCATTTCTTTGGTGTGTCATTGGTGTCCCGTCTGAGGTGAATAGACATTTGTTCATGTCTCCCCAGGAAAAGTCACACAACGAGGAGACAGCCTGGATCACAGTCATTATTTTAGAATAAAATTTTCATTTGTATTATAAAATAGCAATGGTGTTGAATTGTCCAACAACTCCTTCAATCTACTGTCACCTTGACTATGTAAATGAGACAAGAGCTTACACCTTTCCTCCTTAACACAAAAGGTTAACAAATGAATGTGATGTGTACTGTCACAATAAATGTGCAAGGCCTTCAACCAGGGGCTCCCCTAACATATGTAAATTTTCATTCAAGGCCCTTTGTGCTGGTTTACACAGCCCCCTCCTCACAATCTGGGTGACTGCCTCTTTGCATATCATTTGCAAAGATTTGCATAATGGACTCTGGTAACTCTAATTCCAAATATATAAGAGAGACTAAAACTAAAATCTAGCTTGACTTGCTTAAAATGTGGAGCCAATTTTAAAAACATGTCAGAATAAAGACAAGTACGGGGTTGGGATGGGAACCCATAGATTGATGGGTGCTGGATACTGCAGGAAAGCCTCCTTCCTCCCCAGAATTCCCAAGCACGTGTCACCATTTCGAGGGGAGGAGAAGCCTTCCTTCTTCCTATGTTTGGTTGGCTGCCCATTGTTCATACTGTGTATGGCATTTGCATCTGGTACAGACGAGGGAACTGGTAAAGAGAAAAGTGGCTACTACTACATAATGCATTTAACATTTCCTAAGTACCACATGCTGCTTGAAGGGCAAGCCTGTGCTGATGGGCGGTATCCTTCAAAGGACAACTTCCTTAGAGCAGCCAGGCAGGGTAGGTGCTCTTATTAGCTTCCTGTTAAAATTGAGGGAAAGAAGCCAGGGAGGTAGAGCAACCTGTCTGTGCTCACATAGCTGAGGATCCGGTCCTTGGTCACACGGCTGAGTAACCTGTCCACGGTCACATGGCTGAGGATCCTGTCTACGGTCACACGGCTGAGGATCCTGTCCATGGTCACACGGCTGAAGATCCTGTCCACGGTCACACGGCTGAGGATCCTGTCCACGGTCACATGGCTGAGGATCCTGTCTACGGTCACATGGCTGAAGATCCTGTCCACGGTCACACAGCTGAGGATCCTGTCCACGGTTACAAGGCTGAGGATCCGGTCCAGACTGGTCACATGGCTGAGGAACCTGTCTATGGTCACACAGCTGAGGATCCTGTCCACGGTCACATGGCTGAGGATCCTGTCCACGGTCACATGGCTGAGGATCCTGTCCATGGTCACATGGCTGAGGATCCTGTCCACAATCACACAGCTGAGGAATGGTGAGCTGGGATTTTGCAAAGTTTGGACTGTGTCGACATTTTTTTTTTTTTTAATCTTTATGAGACAGGGTCTCCCTGTAGCCTCAGCTGTCCTGGAACTCACTATGTAGACCAGGCTGGCTTTGAACTCACAGAGATCCGCCTGCTTCTGCTTCCTGAGTGCTGGGATTAAAGGCGTGCACCACGTCCGGCTCCCGCTCCGTGTTGACATTTTCAACTTTGACTTGCCATACTTTTTCTTTTCTGGAAGTGCTGGGGATGGAACCTGGAGTTGTCTGCATGCTAGGCAAACTTTCCCGCTGAGCTGCACCCCGCCCCTCCTCTTCTGCTTCACCTTCTTTCTATTCTGCCCTCCACTCTCAAGCTCTGCACAGCCAAAAGCAATGATTTACAGTCTTTGAAACTGATTTTCTAGGTTGTGTTCTCTCTTATTTGATTTCTTCAATTTCTACTCTTGAGTCTTATATGGCATATTTAATGTTTTTAACAATTTCATTGATGAACAACCAATTTTTCAGGCAAGTAGGGGAACTTGTAGTAGTATCATAAAAGGGTTGGGGACTCCTACTTTTAATCTCAGCACTTCCCCAGTTTGAATGCCTTTCCCAATTTGAATGTGCACCTTTGGGAGAAGGAACATTACATATTCAAAAGTTCTTATATACACACAGTATTTATTATATTGATAATTCATATATATATAATTCTATTTACTTTCTTTGTAATTATAAATATGTTTTTGAGACAGGGTCTGCCTGTAGCCTCAACTGGCTGGAACTCACTATGTAGACCAGGTTGGCTTCGATTGCACAGAGATCTGTCTGCCTCTGCCTCCTGAGTGCTGAGATTAAAGGCATGCTCCACTACCCCAAGCTAAATATCTTCTTTTTGATTTACTTATTTTTTAATTCTGTGTATGACTGTTTTGCCTGTGTGTATGTAAGTGCACCCATGTATGCAATGCCTGTGGAGGCCAGAAGTGGGTGTGGGATTCCCTAGAACTGGAATTATTGATGGCTGTTAGCTACCCTGTGGATGCTGGGAACTGAACCCAGGTCTTCTGCAATAGCAGACAGTGCTCTTAACTGCTGAGTCATCTCTCAAGCCCTGTAACATTTTTGAGAAAGTGGGTTCTTTATAAAACAATGAGCAGGACCCCCTTTTACCTCCTTCTCCTGCCCTTGTCCCATGGGATGGCACAGCAAGGGTTCCCTCCTGGATGCCAGCCCTTGACCCTGGACTTGCCAGACTATAGAACTCACAGTAAACTGTAAATCACCCAGCTTGTTCTGTTGGGACAGCACACAGTAGATGAGGAGCCTTATTTACTCTCTGCATTTGACACTTCTGTAACACTACAAAACACTACAGCACGTCTGGTCCCAGATTATTCTGACATGGGCAATAATACATATCTTTGCTCAGAAATGTGCTTCCTAATTTCAAAGTTATCATCTTCTAGCTGGTAAGGATGTCAGGACTCTTGGTATTTAACCCCTTCATCTTAGAGATGAGAAGGCAGAGGCCCAAAAAAGCAAAATGACTTAGTTAACCACTCAGCTACATAGGGTTAGATCAGGAGAGTGACTCAGGCCAACTCATTGCCTGGGCAGTCTTACTGATGCTCGCTCTCATTTGAGTGCTCTTTTCACACACACTTTGCCTCCAGAACTTTAGCGTGCTCTGCTCTTTAAGCTCCAAAGATTCCTTTCATTTTAAAGACCACATATAAACTCCTAGCTCCTTTGAGCATGGTTTTACATAGAAATAAATCTGTATCATTGACCATGTTAGAGGACCAGGTCACTGTTCTGAAAGGGCAACACACGCCTGTGACTTTGACTAAGGAGTTTGTAATGCAGTCTTTGCTGCTTCCTTCTTTCCAGGTAGCCACACTCCACACATTCCCTCCCAACAAGTGCTGGGAGATGCATCCAATCACAGGGCTGAAGGGCAGAAGCTCTGCTCTGTATTCAGAGCTCACGGGACCATCACCTGGCGGGTTCCAGAAATGTCCGGAGATCACAGGTTCAACAGCTGGACTGATGAGGTCCATGACTCCACTGGGAATTGTTTCCCAGAGCACTGTCTCTAGAACACATGCAAGCAAGAAAACCACATGAGTCAGGCCTATGTGCCCCAGTGGCCTTTGGCTAATGTGAATTCATCTCATGCTGTGGCTCTGGGAGGCTGACAGATGACAGCTTTCTAGCCAAAACATGTACACTCACGTGTGAGCATGCATGCACATATTGGTGCTCATAGTTACATGTTCTTTCTCTCCTGTGTTCTCTATCTCCCGCTGTCTCCTCTATCTGTCTCTGTCTCTCTGTCTCTCTGTCTCTCTGTCTCTCTCTCTCTCTCTCTCTCTCTCACACACACACACACACAGACAGACAGACACACACAGAACACAGCCCCTTTTCTGGGAGCAAGAAACAGACAAGTATGACAAATTTGTAGGTCATGTCCCCCTATCATCTCCAACCTGTCATATGGTTAACTCATCTGTCTAAGGTTAAAAGGGTGCCACAGAGCAGCTCCAGGATAAAAGCCCAGGCCTCTTTGATCTGAGATGCTCAAGAAATCCTGGAGACTGAGAGCTTTTTTTCAAATTCAGGAAAAAGTACTGCATGTGCAGAGGAAAGCTTGATGAAGACAATTATCATTATTAATAATAAGTATTGTTGCTGATGACCACAATTTAAAACCCCTTTTCTAGCTGGGCGTAGTGGTGCACGCCTTTAATCCCAGCACTCGGGAGGCAGAGGCAGGTGGATCTCTGTGAGTTCAAGGCCAGCCTGGTCTACATAGTGAGTTCTGGGACAGCTGGGGCTAAAAAAAGACCAACCCCACCCCCCAAAAAAAAGACCTTCCCAAATGCAGCAACACACAGGCAACTGTGCTGGGTTGCCTTTCCTCTTCAATTTTTGCTTCTTTGCCTTAGTTATTTTGATTCAATCTAGACAAGCATTTTTCTACCTAGAGTCTTCTTGGAAGGCTTCCTGAACCTTGAAGACTTTGTTAGGAACCTCTCCTGGGTGCTTGTAATCTCTGAGCTCACCCCTCTGGATGGAAATGGTCAAGGTTTGGTCTACCTCAGGTCTGTGCTCTATCTAAACTACCAGGTCTAATGCCAGGTTCGATGTCATATTCCCAATATCTAATCTAGCACCTGAGCTACAACAACTATTTCCTGTATTTTCTACAAATGACCATAGCAGCACATTCAAACCTGCTTCAGAGTGACCGTGGCACTCCCACTGAGGGGTGAGGTCTGTGTTCCTATGCCTGGATATGGCGGACCTGTGACTGTGGATGCAATTACTGAGGCTAGGCATAAAGCATATAGCCTTTTCCTGTGTTCTTGGGGTTCTTACTTTTAGAGGCCAACAAGCATGCTGTCTGGAAACTGGAGCAGCACAAGGAAGGGCTCATGACAGAGGGAAATGAGGCAGTTCCAGTGACCTTCCAGATGTTGGTCACATGGGTGAGGCAAGATGGAAGTGGGTAGCATAGCCCCTCAGGCCACCTAGCTGAGTCTGAGGCAGAAACAAATGATCCTCTCCCCAGACTTCAAAGTTTGAAGTGATTTGCTAGAAGCAGTAGCGACTACAATACTATCCATGTGGAGGGAAACCGAAGCTTTATCAGCCAGGCAGTGAGGGTTCTGGATTTCAATGTTAGGGGAGCTCAACAGTCCGACTTGGCTGTGGCTTCCCTTACCTGTCTTCCTGCCAGACTCAGGGAAAGGGAAATATGTTGATTCTGGCTTCTTCTACAGCACCATGATTTCTGTTAGACACAGGTTCCCCCCAAGGAAGAAAGGAACAAGTGAATACTAGCACTGCCACATAGTTCCTGTTACATGGAGGATGGGTTAAAGCTGTGGGCATCTGGTGCCTGCACACTGAAGGCACCTGTTTTAGAGGGAATAAAATCAGCTGGGAGGGAACATTTCCTCACATAGTGAAGAAGTCTCTCAAATGCTCCCCAGACAAAGTGAGAGTTGGAATTAGATGGATGAAAAGGTCAAGGCAGAGTCTAATAAAATAACAGGATCATCAATATTCAGGGACCATCTCACTGACATCGGAGTAAAGAACACAGGTGTTTCAGCCCTGGCTGCCTCAGACTCTGCCTAGCTAACAGGAAGGGGTTGTTAAGACTGCTGGAGAGGATGGGGTTGGTCAGCTTGGGGCAGGGAGGAGGAAAGCTGTCAAGGGGCACCAAATTTCAGTTACACAGGAGGAATAAGTTCTAGGGAATCTATTGTATACATCCTGTAACTATAGCAAATGATACTGCATTGCATATTTCAAAATAACTGAAAGAGAGGATTAAAATCCTGGGTGTGATGTGCATGCCTTTAATACTAACACTTGGGAGGCTGAGGCAGGAAGTTTGTGAGTTCCAAGCTTGTCCAAACCATACAGGGAACCTCTCAAAAAAAAAAGAGATGATTTTAGATGGTCTTACCATAGGAAATTATAAGTATTTGAGGTGATGTATATATTAATCAACCTGATTTCGTCATTCCATAACGCATGTATTCAAACGTTACACTACACTTGTTCCAACAAATCTATTATTGTCAGTCGAAATGAAATAAAACTTTGAAGAAAATGCTCTCTGCTTTATAGTACAAAGCTTGGCAGTACAGGTCACTGTCAGCCAGGTGACCAGAGTCAATATCAGCTATATTAGAGTCATGCTGACAGTCTGTACATTTGATATGAAAATGGTCCCTTACTTTGTGGCTTGCTCCCTTAAGCCTCTAACCCCAGGATGATCATAAGAACACACGATAAAACTCCCAAGTTGAGGAACAGTTTACAAACACCTGACTAGTGCTCCTCAAAACTGTCAGGGTTGGCAAGATGGCTCAGAGGATAAAAGCACTTGTCACAAAAGTCTGGTGACGGTGAGTTTGATCCCCAGAACCCACATAAAGGTAGAAGGAGAGAATCAACTCTGCTAACCTGTATTCTGACCTCCACTATTGGCACCTGTGTGCCCCCATCATGTGTGTGTGTGCCTGTACACACACACACACACACACACACACACACACACACACACTTCTCAGGGTAATCAGAAAACAAGGGAGGTCTGTGGAGTTTTAAATGGAAACAAAGGGGGCTGGAGAGATGCTCAGCAGTTAAGAGCACAGGCTGCCCTTCCAGAAGATTAGGTTTAAATTTCCAGCACCCACGTGGTGGCTAACTGTCTGTAACTCCAGTTCCAGGGATTCCTCCATAGGCTCATGTCTTTGAATACTTGTCCCCATACAGTGACACTACCTTGTAAGGGTGTGGAATCTTTAGGAGGCGGAGGCTCCCTGGAGGAAGTGTGTCACTGGGGGCAGAACTTCAGGCTTTATAACTCAGCCTTCCTTCCTGTCTGCTCTGTTTCCTGCCTGCAGATACAATGTGACCAGCTGCCTTACACTCTTGCCTGCCATGATGGATTGTATCCCTCAAACCATGAGCCAAAATAAACCTTTCTTTAAATGCTTTTATGAGGGACTTTGTCAAAGCAACAAGAACAGTAACTGATACAATTACCAGATCAAACAGGCCTCCACATCTGTTTACAGGGGTTTGGATTATGTAGAGACCAGTCTCAGTTTTGGTTTCTTGGCTCAAAGTTTATGCTTTCAGAAGGTTTTGATGAGCACAGTACAAAGTAGGATAAAGAAAAAGACTTTCTATGGGGTTGGGGGACTGCTAATAGCAGCCTATAAGAAGCAAGGGACAGTCCTGTCCAAAATGAGGCAGGAAGAAACAGAGAAAACTAAATGAATGTAAACAGGGAAAGAAGCTCCCGCTCTGGGATCTAGCTTGTATTATGTGCTGGCTGAGAGTCAAGAAACTTCAACTCAACTGATAAAATCAGAATTACCTACAGAGATAGTGTCTGCTTTTCTAAAGATATCTCAAATAAGTATGTTAAAAACAACAAACCATGCTTACTTAGGGCTATATGTTTGAGCTTAATGGTATTAACACTCTTTCTCATCCTTAAATCTAAATAATGTACTTCATAAAGTCATTTCACAATATCTTTTAAAAAATATTTTATTTATTGTTTTTATTTTATGTGTATGAGTGTATTGCTTGCATGTAGGTAGGTGCACTTGTGTCGTGCAATGCCTGTGGAGGTCAGAAGACGGTGTCAGATTCCCTTGGTATGGGAGTTATGGACAGTTGTTAGCTGCCATGTGGGTGCTGGGTGCTCTTTATCATGGAGTCATCTCTCCAGCCCCCACTTTACAGTATCTTTTAAAATAAGAAGGAAAATAAGGAAACTGATGTGATGGTTTCGATGGAAGTGTCCCCTGTAGACCCCAAGTATCTGGACACTTTAGGAGGTGTGGCCATGCTGGAGGAACCACGTCATTGGGGGCGGGCTTTGAGAGGTCGCAAGCCAGTTTCCCACTGCCAGCTTCTCTCTCTGCTTCCTGTACCTGCTTGAAGATGTGAGTGCTCAGTTTTCTGCTCTGGCTCTCTCCTGCTGCCTCCTGCCATGTCTGCCTTGCCATGATGGACTCATCCCTTCGGAATCATAGGCCCAATAACTTCTTCCTTCTATAAGTGACCTTGGTCATATGGTTTATCATAGCAATAGGAAAGTAACTAATGCAACTGACACGTATATTTTCTACTTAATTTATCTGTGTGTGTGAATATGGGTGTGCATGCCATGGTGCACATGTGACGGTTATGGGATAACCCCTGGTCCTTGCCTTTCACCTTGTTTGAAACTGTCTCTTTGTTTTTGTAGTACACATGCCCTCACTGTGCAAGCCAGGTTAGCTGGCTCGAGAGCTTCTGGGGCTCTCCTGTCTCTGACTCCTATGCTCCAGTAGGAGCGCCGGGATCACAGATGCTTGAGCTATGTCTAGCTTTTATATGGGTTCAGGGGTTTCATCTCAGGTCCTCATGCTTGTATAACAAGTGCGTTTACCTACTGAGCCATCTCCCCAGTCCCATTTTCTACTTAATTTTAAAATTCTACTTAATTAAAAAAATTTGCTTAGTTTAAAAATCTTGTTGCAGGGCTGGAGAGATGGCTTGTGGTTAAGAGCA